GGTTTTGTTCAGTATTGAGTCCCCAGTCCCAAGCCTGGCGTGGAGTGGGTGATCAATAAATATTTACTGGATGAATGAAAAAGCTCTCCATAAACGTTAGTTATTATTATTACTGCAACTGTGTTCAAATGTGGAAACGGCCCTAGGATGGTACAGTGAAGCACGCCAAAAGGTAGCGGGCGCCAGCGGCGGAAGCTGGACCCGAACCCGCTTCCTGCCTCTCAACTCTGCCCTAGCCCAGTGGGGGCCATCTGGGGCTTTGTCCAGGGGTGTCCTCTGGATCCTCCTCCCCGCCGCCCCCCACCCTCTCCCGCGACGCTCGAGTCCGGTAGTGGTCTCGTGCAATCCCGCGCGCTCCAGAGAGACTTCTTCGCTCCTCACCGACGGCGGCCCCCAGACCCCGGCCTGGTCCGCGCCCCGGCCTCGGCCTCATCCTCGGAACCGCTGCTGCTGTAGCCCACCAGGGGATCCGCACTCATGGGGCCTCGTCCAAGACTACAAGACCGGACAGTCGGCTGGCAACCGCACCCTGCTCCCTGAGTTCCGCGGAGCCGGAAGTACCCTCCCGGGGGCGGAACCCGAGGTAGCACCGCCTTGGGGCGGGGCCTGGAGGGCGGTACCCGGCAGGGTGTAGCGGACTCTGCCCACCTGCTCCATGCTGCCGGCCGGCTCGCTGCGCGTGGAGGGCTGCCTTGGAGCCTTTTGGAATCCCGCCAGCCTTCGTGTGCCCATTTTACAGGTCGCTCTGGGCCTTCACCTCTGTCTCCTGCTCTGTCTGCAGCCACCAGGGACCAGACCTCCCAGACACCACGGTCCTTGGGTCAGCGCAGTAGACCTAGTGGAGATCCCTGCCCTCTCCGCCCGGCCAGGATCAGAGGTCCCAGATCTCTCTCCTGAAACCAGCCCAGAGTTCGATCCCCGGGCCCGCCCCCGTAAGAGTCAACCTGAGCGGTTAAAGGCAGGTCAATTCCAGAGGACCAGAGGATATAGGAGACCCCTCCTCTCTGGTGCAGAGTCGGGCCGCGGGCGGGCCCCGGAGCCCCACCCCTAAGGCCGAGCCT